CCGGTACCGGGATGGGGACATGTACCGGCTCCTGTCCCGGGGTGGGGGGGGGCCTGTACCGGGATGGAGATGCCATAACGGTACCCGTACCGGGATGGGGGCCCGGTACCGGTAATGGGATGTCCCGTACCGGGATGGGGGCCCGGTAGCGGCGTGAGGGACTTGTACCAGCACCCATACCGAGATGGAGATGCCATAACGGCATCCATTCCGGGATGGGGACCCGGTACCGGCAATGGGGTGTCCCATACTGGGATGGCGGACCCATATCGGTATCCGTCCTGGGATGTGGAGCCGGTACTGGGATGGGGAGTCCTGTCCCAGCACACGTCCCGGGATGGGGAGTCCCGTCCCAGCGCCCATACTGGGATGGGGAGTCCCGTCTCAGCACCCGTACTGGGATGGGACATCGTGTACTGGGATGGGAGCTCTCGTACTGGTACCTGTACTGGGATGAGGACCCGGTACTAGGACGGGGTGTCCCATACTGGGATGGGGAGTCCCGTCTCAGCACCCGTACTGGGATGGGACATCGTGTACTGGGATGGGAGCTCTCGTACTGGTACCTGTACTGGGATGGGAGGTCCTATTCCAGCACCCATGCTGGGATGGGGATCCAGTTCGGGAATGGGGTGTCCTGTACTGGAATGGGGGACCCCGTGATGGCAGCCATACTGGGATGAGGGCTCAGTACTGGCACAGAGATCTCATATGGGTACCCATGCCGGGATGAGAGCCCAGTACCAGGATGGGGCCCTGCACTGGGGTGGAGGGGTTCCCACACCACCACCCATACTGGAACTGGGGTTTGATCCCAGGAGGGGGTTGCCATGTGGGCACCTGCACCAGGATGAAGAAACCCAGACTGGGATGGGGGTCCGGGACTGGAATTGGGGTCCCGCGCTGGAACTTGTACTGGGAGGGGACCCAGCACCAAGCTGGGGGGTCCCGTACTGGCACCTCCACCGAGGGAGAGGTGGGGGGTCCCACACTGGTGCCTGTACCTGGTAAGGGATGGGGGAGACCTGGGGGACCCCTCACCAGGAGGGTGTTTCACAACCCTGTGCAGGAGGACCCATGACCCCCCCTCCTGTCCCAATGGCAACCTGAGCTCTCCCTTTTGACCTGCACCCAGAGGAGACCCCCTTGGGGTAACTGCACAGGGCCTCAGCCCTGCTTCACCCACCAGGACCCCTGCCCTGGGGACCCTCTGTCCTACTGGGGTGACCCCTGCCTCCCCCCTCCCCACAGACCCCCCCATCCCCTGCTGCACCCTGGGACCCTGGTGATCCAGGCACCCCGACCCCATAGGGGTGCCCCCCACAGCCCACCCCTTGCTGCAGCATCCTAGAAGAGTCCTGCCCTTCACCCTCCATCCTCATCCTCCCACTGCCCAGCAGACCTCTGCCTCTCCAGAGACTCCCGTTCCCCTTCCCAGCTCCCTGCCTGGATGTCACCCACCCTCTTGCCGGGGGCGGGGACAGAGCTGGGGTCTGGGGCTCTGTCCGTTGTTGGGGATGAGGGGGACAGTGCCTGGACGTGACGCGTGTGGGGGGCTGCTGCTGAGCGCTTGCGAGGTGCAGGATCAGAGGGTGCTGGTGCGATTTGGGGGGCGCGGATGGGGCGAGGGAGCGTGCGTGGTGGGGAACGACTGGTCCCGCCGGCCGGGTGACAGCGTTGTGCCGTGGTGGCGCCTGGAGGAGCAGGCAGAGCGGGGCCCGGTGTAGGACGTGCTCACCGGGGGAGTGCGAGGTGGCTCGGGGGCTCGGATGGGGGTCTGCGGTTGTCCCCGACGGCAGCTGAGGGTGAGGCAGGTTCATCCGCTGAATGTGTCTGATGGGAAGAGACTGGCAGGTGGAAGCCGTGTGGGATTGGGGCCGGCAGGTACCGGGGAGGCTCAGGGTGCTGGAGACGACGATGCTTGGCTGCACCACGCCGTGAGATCTAGGATGCCATCCCCGCCATCCCCGCGCTGTCGTGGCTGACCTGGCGCTGAGAGGACTTGGTCCTTCCAGGAGAGTCCTCGCGCTGCCAGCATCTGCAGCCCCTCCTGCTTTAGCTCGCTTGCTTTTTTGGGGAAGGCTGCCCTCTGCCCCGAAGACCTCCCCAGCACGTGGGGCAGCCCCTGCGCACCCCGAGGCTCCCGCCTGCAGCTCTGCTCGCAGCCCAGACCACGTGGAGCAGACAGACGGGCGCTGGAGCCGGCGCGTGGGAAGAAGACGGGGTGGCCCACGCGTCCCGCTGGCAGCGGGGCTTTTCCTGCGGCCGGTCTCCAGCCAGGAAGGACCCTCAGGCCGCCCCATTGGAGCAATCGCCCCCCACCCTGGGCTGGAGGGGGCTTCCCTCGGGCGTTCCCCCCCGAGGCGGCTTGTGCGATGGATCTCTGGGGAGTAGCACAAGGCCCGTGTTTCCCTGGGCGTTGAGCCCAGCGGTGGAGAGACGACCTCGCGCCAAGCTCTAGCCGTAGAGCATCCGTGCCGGATCCCTTCTGTTACTCTTCTAGAGATCCCGCCGGGCCCTGACGCCGCAGCGGGACTCTTGTGCGTTGCAAGGTCCCCATCCGGGTGCTTTCTTGCCATGCTTGCCTCCAAGCGGGTGTGGGTGCCGGAGGCCGACGCTGCTAGCCGGGGCTGATGTGCCTCGCAGAGGATGTGCTCAAGCCGCTCTCTCTGACCACCTCCTGCTTTGGGTTTCCTTTCAGATCGATGACATCGCGGACGGCGCTGTGAAACCCCCACCGAACAAGTACCCCATCTTCTTCTTCGGCACCCACGAGACGTAAGCGCTGCCTCGCTCCCCTCTCTGGGCTTTTTGCCCCGCTGCCTCTGCTCCGGGCTCACCTCTGCTTTGTTTCTCTCCAGCGCCTTCTTGGGCCCTAAAGATCTCTTCCCTTATGAAAAATATAAAGACAAATATGGGAAACCAAACAAGAGAAAAGGCTTCAACGAGGGATTGTGGGAAATCCAGAACAACCCTCACGCCAGTTACAGTGCCCCTCCGGTGAGTGCGGGCCTTGCGTGGCGGGGGGGCAGCGAGGACGTGGGCTGCCGGCACCTCCATCTCTCCTTTCCTCCGAGTCGCTCTCCTCCTTTCTCTGCTTCTCATTGCTACGGTGCCTACGCGCTTCCAGCTCGCACATCGGCTTTCCTGGGGTTGAAGTAGCTTCCCTTCCCTGCCCTCTCCCTTCCTGAGGGAGTCAGCTTTCCTCCTCCTCCTCTGGAGGAAGATGCCTTTGCCCCATCTTTGAGGCGGAACCGGGGATGTGCTTTGTGCCGCTTGCCCAAAACCATGAGGATTTTATTATCAGAGCGAGAACTTCAGGCTTGCTCGTCCCCGGCTCCCAGACCTGTGTGTGGACTGTTGGGCAGTCCCCCTCTTCATCCACTTCTGAGGTCCTGAGCCAAAAGCCGCTGGGCTGCTTCTTCAGTG